GCAATTTGGTCCGCACATGATTTGTACTTCCTGAATCCAGCCACCGTGTTCCAGTCGTAGTTTTGGATCCAGTGCATCGTTTAGTCTCTCCAAGATGATGCGGCTTAATATTTTGCTTGCTTTGGATGGACAGGAGCATAATTCCATGCCAGTTCTTGCAAACACTTCTGCCGCTCTTCTTCGGGAGTTTGACAGGGTGGCCCTTCTTCCAGTCAGTCGGCAGGTACCTTCCCTTCCTTCCAGACCTTCTGCAATAGTGGAGTCAACATATCCGCTGTTGTCTTTGCATCTTCTCTCAGTGCTTTGGGCAGGATTCCATATAGTCCTGCTGCTTTCCCGCATTTCATTAGCTTTATGGCATTCAGGACTTCGACTTTCGTTGGAGGGCTTGTGTTTACTTGTAGTTGTGTGGCTGCAAGTGGTATTTCTGTACGGAGTGCAGGTGGTGGTCGATTCAACAGCTTTTCAAAGTGGTCAATCCATCGTTTCCTTTGTTTCTCTTCTTTGGTAATTAAATTTCCTTCATCATCTTTTGTTGATTTCATCTGTGTTGATCTCTTCCCAGATGATACAATGTTGTCAGGTCTCTCTTACCTGCAGCCTGTTCTGCTTCACTTGCCAATGTGTCGTCGAAGTGTCTTTTGTCTTTGCGCGCACTCTTCTTCACACGACGCAACTAGAAGTCTCTGATAAATGACCCCTGCAAAAAGAATACTTTGTATCAGATTCTAAGATTTTAACAATACTGGCTGTGTTTTTTTAACCATACTCAAAAATAAGCTTGTGTTGTGTACTTGGACAACGATTCACTATTAGGTTAAGTTCCGTTTTTTACTCCTTCATTTCATGTCAACGCCTATTTTTTATTTAACCACTTCCATTTTTCCGATAAAATATTTTGACAAGTAAATGTTTCTCCCAACTGTTGAAAAATTCATAACGCAAACACATTACAACTTCTTGAACAAACTTCATCGTCTAATGCCATCATTCAAATGCGATCAAATTCATGATTCGTAGAAATTTTTGGCTAGGTTAACCGCATTGTTCAGACATATGAGAAATAAGACGCTGTAGTTGAAGATGAAACATTCACACATACAAGGTAATCTCACCAAAAAATTGTCAAACAATAACTACATCTATAAGCTGTTTCTCAGTATCAAGCCTAAATTGTAGAATGAAGTAGGTTGAAGGATACTTTGATAATTTAGCCTCTACAACGAGTCTTTGTAATATATTCCTGTCGTCTTCGGAAACTGTCAATATCATCGGAACTTTTGATCATCTACAGGGAATGCTTGACATCCATTCATTAGAAAGTGATTTTCGATAACATTACATTATCCAAGATCAATGTGCTTATGAAGCATGAAGTGCAGCAGTAGGTTTTTAATAAATTGAATAAGCCCAGTAATGCGTAAAATAAAAATAACATTTTGTTAGGCTTGATAGAGTAAAGCGTAAATTCATTTCAAATGAAAAATGTTTAGGTTACTCTCTCCATCTGACAGGCTCCACGCTTACTTATAGGTACACCTGGCCGGTGTGACATCTGATTTCCTGTAGATCCGAAGGATGAAAACAACAGATAATGACTATTTGGAAGAAATGTTTTTTTCTGAATAGTATTATGAGTTGAATAACTGAAGAATACAACCGTGGAGAACTACATTCAAGTAACTCCTAAAATCAGTAAGAAGTACCCACGTTTTCTGATACGAAAACAACATTCCTACCAGCGGTTCAGTAATTACTTGTTTTCCGTTGACAAAAACTTCTTTTCAAGTTGGTATTCATCATGAACTGACATCAGTTGCGGGAATGTTAAAAACCTGGGAGTGAACAGCTGTTTCATCCTCGCATGGAAGGGACTCTTCGGCAGTGCGTACCCATGACCCCGCCTTCAAAGGGTTCGAACTTAGAACCTGCAGGTTCTGTAGCCAGCGTATTATCATTGAACCAGGGGGTTCGAACCCAGTGGTCCATATTTCCTACTTCCATCAGTTCACGACATAGCGTGAACATCACCTAATATCATCGCTGAGTATTTGCCCTCACGGCCAACTAGTTTTGAAAACCATATACCTAATCAGCCTTTTAGCTATTTCTTTGAGCAGTTAATGTAAAAACGTAGCAAAATATAATGTTCACTTTCTCACCAAGTAGATTTCAATGGCAATAAGCATTGTTCAACACGACCCACATAATTCAACACTGATACATAAAATAGAAACTGATGGTCAGCTTTATCTCATTATCGTCATCCTGTAAATAGTTGTTCATGGATTTAGTCACTTGATTTTCAAACGACAGATCATAGATCTGAACCTAGATACAATTTTGAGATTTGAGCTGCCATTTACTATTATTAACCTTAAAACTAGGTAAGGGTCTGGCTGATTGCCTACTAAACGAATGTATACTCGGTTACTGAGTGGATTTTAATTTCTTTCGCACGACTGGCATCCGTTCAGTGATGTGATCAAACAGCATTCTTTTTAAACGTAAGTTTCTTCTTCATGTAGTAGGGCCGACTGTTGAAACCTCAAGAAGTTTATTCACAGAAAAAAGCAGTAACACGCTGTATATACATTGACGAAAGTAAAACCAATTTCATATTGACTTACATGTACCTAGTTCTGTCGATCATCCTGTGATATTGTCACCAAGCTAGAAGACTCAGGATCAAGATACACTTTAATTGATGTGAGATGGCTGCAGGCAGTTATTAATAACCTTTGAACCTAGGTTTCGTTTTTGGTATTACTATTTAGCAAAGTGAACTTGAGAACTTAAATGGACTGATTTCCTCTCGGAGATGTGAAAATGCGTCATCCAGTACTGTAACCAGAGGGATGATCAACAAGGTATTCTGGCTGAGATAAGCAGTCTGTGGTGGCCACACTAAAAAATTGGGTGATAGAATTCCATCAGCATTCAGAATTGGACAGCATTAAATTGGTCAGTCTTCAGTCAGTCAACTAATTGGACGTAAAACCATTCATGACTTTAATAACCCAGCGTAAAAGTATTCAACCATCCAACACTGTGTTTGATTTTATTTATTCGATGAGTTTTGTTATCTGACTGGAATAACATAGTGGAATTTCTGAGGTCCTGCCTGGTTGATTATTCTGTTTTCAAACTTGATAGTGCTCACATTACATAATGGCAAGTACTGGGTGATAAAAGCCAAAGTATCTCGTCATCAACTCACCGCGATACCTGAAGGTAACATTTCCATATAGCACAAAGTTTCATATAAGTGGTCTTTCAAAGTTCAAGACTAGAAAAAACTGCTGTAGTATGCTTGTTAGCATTACATAGTTTTATAACTGATGTCAACTTCATTGAAAATCAATCAGAAAGACTCTTACTGAAGAAGGATAAAGTTGGTTTCGTGTTTCATTTACGGTTGCCGACCTTGAGATAAAACATTTCTGACTAAAATTTAAGTTCAGTTCAATTTCTTTACATTCACAGCTCAAGTCTGTCGTAATAATTTATAAGACTGAAATACCTAAAATACTTCAAATGTTCTAACGAGGAAGGTTTCCCTGTTGACAATGTCTTTAGTAAGTTTTTCATCTGATTTCGTTATAAAAGCTGTAACAGTGTTCGTTGACTAACAGAACATAACTATAATATTCACACACTATTTTCGACATTGTGTATTTACTGGGTAATGGCTGAAAATGAAATGAAAATTCGGACCTCAGGCGGATTCCAACCAGCTACCATCAGGTTTCCAGCCTGGTGCTCTATTAACTGAAATATGAAATCTGACTGCTGACGATATTTTTATTTCACTGAATCACAACTACAAGTCTGTGAAACCACGGCTGTCTCATATAGTCAAAATGATAATATATATAACATATTAATTAATTATAGGTTATTCTCCGCATATCTTAAATATGCTATCTAGTCTAATCAAGATGAATGTCGATGCTAATCTGCTTAGTAAGTAGTAGAATTTTGAGACGTAAACATCACTTCTTCGATTCAAGCCCATTTGTTTACAAAAGTCCTTTCAGCAGACAAAATTTCACTGTTATTGATGGAAAGAAAGCCACAACATGCAAGCTGGCACAGTAGATAATGAATTACACCCATTGTCGAAGGTTTACTAACACTACCTAGCTTCTCAAACCTAGGCGCGTGGTGTAATGTTCTAATATGCGAAACACTAGTCGGAAGTCATGTAGGTAGATGAACAAACCAAATCTCAACGGGTATATAAGGTGTGCTTTGGATTCCTATTGTAGTCAGCACAAGTGAGTTGTATTACGATAACAAAATGAATTGTCAAGCACTTATTACAAAATGCGTTGGTGAATAAAGAGGCCAAATATCCTGCTGGTTTAGTTTTAAGTATCTAGGTGACCCAGATTATTATGTGGAAGATAACAAATTGAATGTCTACTCAACAGTCTTAAGCTATGCACCTTATTACACTGTCCATTAGACAAATAATAAGTTTGATTTTTATGACATACTGTATTGTAGTCAGTGTTTTCGTTTAAACAATACTGATTAATACAGTCTTATAAAGCAAACGCTGCATCCATCAAAGTAGCACCTTGGTGTTTTAACATGATACACTGAAATCTGATTTAGTTGCTATCAAACGACAATTTCTCTAAGAAATAAATAAGAGTAAAGTAACTGGTGGCTCTTATAGCTTTGCTGAACTTTTCCTCCAGTATATATAGTGATAAGTCAACAGTAGGCAATTCTCTACTGATGCTTCCTCTTGACTTCTGAGCTGTCGAAGAACTTATTCCTCTTCTGACTTTTAACTGTGGATTTCAGAATCCCGGAACTATGAGATTTATATGATTTGATGGATCTTTAAAAACCAGACCAGATGTGATCTAGATGTGAATGGTAGAATACTGAGGAAAAGTTCGCGCCAACATTCTTTAGACAATTTTGGTTACAATCTACTTATTATTCTTGGATGTTTTATTTTCAACTTGTTTCATTCCTTTTAGAAAATGCATGAGGACATGTCTACTAAATGTGGAGCAGAAACATCTACACCTGGCCCATATTCACTATTGGTAACAAAAGCTGATCGTCTTCATAATCTGGAGGATAAATATCTTCAAAAGTGTAGTCTGAAATCTGCAGACAACCAATTGCCTTCTCAAGAGGATTCTATTCCCATTGACCACAGCTCAGGCCCTCCACAGTTTACAGAAGACAGTCAACAGTCAATCATATCTGATTCTTCATTCATCTTATCTCCTAACTCATCTTCATCAGTGTTACCACGGTCAGTAACCCAAAATAGACATATTACGGACAAAACAACTAAAGAAGATCCCAGTTTTCAACCAGAAACTCAAATAAGGTTTGAAAACGTTTTTTTTTCATGTATAAAAATCATTTGTTCTAACTTCTGCACAGAAGTCTTAATTATTTAAATTTCACCCAACGATAAATCCGTACATAATTAATGTTGTAATCCTGAAAAGTGATTGCTATCATCTAGTTTTTTTATGTAAGGTGAGATGAATATATAACTACGGTAACCGATAAATCCTGTTTGGCATCATTGGGGAATAAGGTTTCTGCTCAAACATGAACAAAGGCATTGCATTTCATTGCGACTACATTTATACAGAGAAAAATTGTCTACTACAGGTTGTTCGCACTCCCAAAGGGTCAATCATAATTCAAAAGTTTCAAGAGAAAAAGTGATTAATATAACTTTGTAAATAATAAAGTAATTCGATTTAGAATACTCACCTGAAGTTACTAAAGGTTTTGCAACAGACTGCTACTCATTACATAGTTAGTAGTTAGCTCAAACTAAATGACTACCACTAATTTTATTTCCTTTTTCACATCTAACTGTTGGGAACTCCTAGAGAAAGAAATTTTCATACAAAATCACTTATTATTCATGAATCAGAATTTAATATTCAGAAGTATATTTTTTGTATATAATTGGAACTGATACTTACTTTTTCAATATCCAGAATATTAGATGAAGGTATACATAGACACACACAGGCACATAGACACAAACAGAGAGAAAGAGAAATACATTTAGCTGTAGATTGAATAACTGGAAATTCCAAAAATTATATAAATGCATATTTACAAATTAATTGAGTAAAGCAGCCAGATTTACGCTTGAAATATTTAGAAATTTTGATTGGAAAATCAAAAAAAACACAATTTAATCCATATTTGAAAAAACAAGGACAACAAATATTGTGGAATGAATCGGATTCATTTTGTATGCTCTAAATATTCCACATCTACACACTAAACGTAAAATTGTCTACATTAAGCTATCAATGTCTAATCCAGCCAGTATAAGTGATTTGATACCTTCAGGCAGTAAACTCAACACCACACACATCCTTCATACCTAAACATCAATACAACATATATACATGGGAACAGAGATGAATGATGGAGTTCACGGTCTAAATAAACAATACGGGGAAGAAGTTAGACTTTCAAATTTATCAGTCAATTCAAAGGAGAATATGATGTGATAGTAGTACAGGAATGTGATTACAGGTCAAGGTGATAGTAATTCTGGTTGAAGAGGAAGAATAACGAAGATGGTGTGCAGTGTATGTGATTATTATTTTGATTATCTAGGATAGCCATAGTTTCGCAGACTAGTATTTATACTGGGCGATTATTGAGGGTGACATGAAAATTCGGACCACTGATGGATTCGAACCAGCAACCACCGAGTTTCCAGCTCAGTACTCTACCAACTGCGCTACGAGGTACATTTGAGTTAGCACTTCCTTTCTCATTCCTCTACCACTAATTTATATACTTTGCAAACCATCTTCGTTATTCTTCCCCTTCAACCAGAATTACTATCACCTTGACCTGTAATCACATTCCTGTACTACTATCACATCATATTTTCCCTTGAGTTGACTGATAAATTTGAAAGTCTAACTTCTTCCCTGTATTGTTTATTTAGACCGTGAACTCCATCATTCATCTCTGTTCCCATGTATATATGTTGTATTGATGTTTAGGTATGAAGGATGTATGTGGTGTTGAGTTTACTGCCTGAAGGTATCAAATCACTTATACTGGCTGGATTAGACATTGATAGCTTAGTGTAGACAATTTTACGTTTAGTGTGTAGATGTGGAATATTTGGAGTATATGAAATGAATCCGATTCATCCCACAATATTTGTTGTTTGTGCTTTTCAGAAATTTATAAAAGGAATTAATCGTATGATATTTCTAAAATCTTGTCTCCCTTTAAAATTCAATTTAATTGAATTACTTGTATATATTTAAAATTATTTAAATTAGTTTCTAATGAGGTCGGGATTGAAAATTTTTCTAGTTTATTCCTAAAATAAAATTACTTACAATTTTACCGATTCATTTGGTACATAAATTTATATGAGACTGTAAAGTATAGAAATGAAAGTCTGAAGGGGACCTACGAGAAGTTACTGTTTAATCTGGTTATAGTTAAAGTACACGTTTAAGAAGTTTCAGTGAAATTGGTCTTAGAAGCTGAACACTTCCACACTTTTTTTCTTTTATTGACGCACTTTATTCTTTATGATAGTTTTTAATTGCAAAATTATGATATGAAACATTCAATAGGTAATTGATGACTTCTCTAAGGTTTCATATGCATCAGTGAAAAAAGTGAATGAACTTTCGTAACTTAGACATCTGCACAACTTGAGACTACTGAATGATAGTGAACGTGAAGTAATTTCAGCTATATGGGATAAGTGAACTGTAAACTAGTCATAATTATGGCATATTTATATCTAGTCAATTTTTATAGAACCGAAGAAGAATATGAGGACAAGAAGAATGATCAAGATAATAGAGGATTTAAAATAAGAAAGATAAGAAGAAAGTGAGAAGAGTGACATAGTTGATTCTAACCTTGGTAAGATCTTGGTAGATATAGGGTAAGAACGAATTACTTTTGTAAACACAAAAGTGGTTTCAATTTGTGTACGTCTACTGATTCCGCGAATTTCAGTAGCAGCCCTGAATATTTCTATTTATAACTTTGAAAGTCGTTTGTGCAATAATTTTATGACCCATTTCCTTAATATGTTTGCTCATCAATGAAGAGGACACAACGGATATCCGTTGAAGCTTATAAACTATGGTAGAAGTTAGGTAGCATTAAAACCCTTAGTTCCTAAGAAGAAAGGTGTTCATATCACTCTACCATACAGAGACGAGTTGCATAATATGATTTTGAGACGGGAAAACATACTACACAGAAAAGTCCATCCTTTTGGAAAAGGCAAAACACTGCACAAATGAATGAATCACATCTGACTTATATTTTTATGTGGTCATGCATGCAATGGGAGGAGCAATCGAGTCATCCAGTTGAAGGTGGGAGAACATGTACCTAAATGGCTTCAAAAACAGATGGAGTATGAAGCCTTGATAAGTGCGGGTGGGTGACAACCTTCTTCAACTATAGCTAAACATATAAAGATGGCTTACAAAATTAGTGTCCAAATAGCTTTCAAAATTGTATACAGAAACAGTCATTGACATACACACACACAGAGGTTCATTGAGGCTATACGCATACGCAAAATGGAACCGGCTTTGTGTGTACAAAAGCAGTTTGTTCTTACACTATAACTATGTGTACTATTCATAAATTTTACAATACAGTTCATCGTCATATTAATTTATGCGTTTGCCTTCCTCACTAGATGATGTTTTCTGTATCTATGAAATGAAGAAACCTTGGGTTGATAAATGGTTTGATAGAATAAACGAGGCAGAAATGCTTTATATTACTCCTCTTGTTGATACCATAATTTCTCTGATAAGCATCTTCTTTTTAAAATACTCAACGTATGTACAGTCATTCATATACCATAGCATGAACTACCAAACCCTAAAATCCTAACGGATTGACGTACACAGGCTGATCTTCTTGTCAGAATGAAGTAATATTTACCAGGTGTACTTATGACTACTTAGTTTTCTATCCATCAATTCTGTCCAAAAAATGCAGTCAAAAAAACTCAATGAAATTCTTGTAGTAATGGCAAATATTATTCAAAACTCGCTACATTTTTCAGACCCATTGTTGTGGACACTGCAATCTGAATTACAATATCCGTGATGAATAAACCTTCTTAGACAAATGTTACTGATCCTGACAAAGGTTTGATTGCAAGCTTTAAGCATTGACAGACAAATTTCGAACCATTTAGTGAACTTGTAAAGCAATTTGTCATATCTAAACGTATGACTGAGTAAACAGAAGCTAAAAAGCTTTTATTTCAAAGCTTACATGCATGAAAAATCAAACAGAAAGACTATGATTGTTTGCTATTTCAAAGTTCACTTTTGTACAGCTCTTCACAATACTAGGTAACTTCGTCAGAATGTCTTTGTGAGGTAAGTTCCCTGTGGACGCTAAACAATTATTATCCTCATCGTTAGGTGTTAATCTTCTCAACTATTGCAAAGAGAATTACAATAGTATCAGTGTTTATCGCGACATGTAGGAATTGGACAAAATAATTAGTACTCCGACTAACTGCTTGAATGCTCACGTGACTACGTTCGTTCAACGTCACACATTTCCGATTGAAATGAATGTTGACTGCAGTTGATTATTCTTGAATTCCGATGTAAACTTGAATTCCATAAATGACTCAATAATCCCTTCTTACAAGTAAATCAATCTAAGCATTGTCATAACTTGTCTTAACAGTAAATGAAAGATGAAAGCAATAAAATATGTACATCTTATTTTGTTTTTCAGAAATCCACATACAATGAATCACAAGAGAACAGAGTTATTCACTAAAATATCAGATAGTACATCTATTCATAAAGGAGAACACTATAAGGTAGAAAGTAACTCCTCAAACATTAAATCACCCAATTCTAGTGACCTATCAATCAGTATCACTTCACAAAAAGATATAAATGATTTGTCTAGAGAGATAAATAGTGAAATTTCCTCTCCGCTTAATTATAATAAAACAATAGAAATGATAAAATCGAATTCAACTTCTGATATGTTTGATAATTTCACACCGATCACATCAGTAACAGTTACAACTTCAATTGTAGTAGTTAATGCAAATGAATCATTGAAAACAGGATCATCGATTTCAGTTAATAGTAATCCAAGATCAAAACTGAATTATTATTCAAAAGATACAGATCATGTAAACAATCACAATTTTACAACAAACAGACGAAAGTTTCGTAATAGCTCGAATAACAGTAATAATAATAATAATGATTTTTCCAGTTTTAACCTAAAATCATTGTTAAATAATAAATATATGAAAAATTTCTTAATGCAACCATTTTTAATGCCAGAATGTATGAACACTACTGCTTATACAACAATGAATAATTATGAACTTGCCCATTTAAGAAAATCATTTTTCAATAATGAAAGTAGTAAACAAAACTTTCAGACAGCCACAGCTGCTGCAGCTGCTCTTCTACCAGATCCAACTGTGTTCATCAACTCATCACCATACTACTATTGGTTACCATCGTCTGGATTTAATAATACTACTAATAATACAAATACTACATATACTACAGATTGTATGAAATTGTATAATGATAAAATCATCACAAATACTAATAGCAATAATAATCTAAATTATATGCATGGAGGCAATCGATTTATACTACAACAATTCAATAATCATATCAGCAATGGTACTGATGATTTTAATTCTTGTGAAAGTTTAAACGGAAACATGATTTCCACTTCAATACCTAAAGTCTCAAGTAAGTTGATTGTACAAAAGACCGCCATTGGTTTATTAATAACTTTGACATTACAATGGTATTGCATATCTGTTCAAAAGTTGATCATTTAACTTCAAAGCATTTTAATTATATTTCATGCCTACATCATCCTATTTAAATATGACTGTAGCAGTAAAAATCAGCCTTACAACCTATGAAGAAGACCGACTTTTATTTTTTATATAGGAACTGAGAATTATTAGCGCTCTAAAAGATGATGCATTATTGAAACTAAAGGAGATATTTCCTAATACTTAGCGTTTTCTATCCGTAATTCTTACTCAACTAGATTAATCTCTGTTGGCATTTGTGTTCTGTCAAGCGATACCTAAATATCGACTTAAGTTTTATTCCAATATAATTTGTTTGCTAATACCCAGCGTCCGTTCAATGAAGGCATATCCCGACAGAGACTGATTAGTTTAGTCCAATAAAATGAACGAAGTAAAACCTAAAATATTGAAGATACTCATTGTAACTAGTAGTCTTGCATCGTAAGTGATGAATGCTGGACTTGAAACTCATCGGGAAAGCCATCATACTGATTTTCAAGTAAAAACAGTTGTTATGTATCAAACGGGATGAAATGTTCATCAATTTCTATTGGACAAAGAAAATTGAATAAAGTTAGAACGTGTTCAAGTGGAATAAAAAAGAAAACTGATATGTGACTTTTAAAAACGTTCTCAACATAATTCCAAACAGAATACTATACTTTTTGTATTGGTGACTTTATTACTGACAAAAAACCACCAGACATACAGATTAAAGATGAAGACTATTTTTTCCAGTCAGTAAAAAACTGGCCAAAATGTTGATTTCGCCTAATAAAAACTAAATTCCGTCGCTACCGGAAGATTCATATTGCATGCTGATTCAGAAAATCTGAAGGTTGATTTCCTGTTTCCTGTTTTAGTTGATACATTAGATGTATCATACAGTGAAACACTGTTATTTATTGGATTATATTCGGATACAATTTATTGTTCACAGTCACATCAAGATAACTCCACAACTGTGAGACATAGTTCATATAGTTTCAATTTTTTGTTTGCTTCATGATATAAGTAGTAGAATTTTTCATTTATCCGGAGCAGATGCTATCACTCCTACTGCATGAATCAGATATCGTTCGATACCCTGAGTAATGGAGAACCACTAAAGATCTACCGATTTGAATATCGCCAGGTCTTTGTTTTCAGAAAGCCTAAATGACCCTGTTCGACTATTTTGACACATGTACTTGACCTCGCAGTCATTCCAAGAGGTGTGATAAACTTTATTATTTTGCCTAATGGGGTCAGTAAGAGCTTTTAACTTACAAAGATTATGTCTAAGTGAGTATGTACGTTTAAATGTCATTCTAATTCCAGCCACATTGAGAATCCTATGAAACTTCTTTGAGGTGCCTTATTTGTATGGTAGTACTGTAATACTTTTCCGCAATCGTTATAGATACCTTCAGACAAGTTAGTTGCGTTTACTGAAGACGAAAAATCAATGTTTCGATAAGATTCATAGTAAGCTCTTTCATAAGTGCTACAGCATGAACTCAGTTACCAATTACGTATCAACTTTCCTTCAGCCACCTAATGTTTTATCTGATAACTGTTTGAGCACATTACAAACCATGTGAAATGAACAGAATAATTCCTAATATAGAGATAACCAAATGGAATATAATTAGAGTGAACTAACTTGTTCTCAGCAGGAACAAGAAATATGTCTCTTGAAATTCGTCTTCAGAAATTTCAGACAGGTAACATGCTGATAAACAATATACATGTTTTTCCCAATGAAATGAGTGTGATGATAATGATTTTACATGGTAAGGCAGTGCGTCCGTGACTGTAATCTTCCCATTGACATAAGCAAGTTCCATTAATATTAGTCGGAAGACACTTTTACGGTCGAGATGAGATTCAGCTAATAATATCAGTGTGTAAATGCGCCTATAAGAGAGACTTCCGGAGGAAATGTGCCAAAATCTAGATTTTTCTGCTTTCATGCTCCTAAGAATTGTAGTTCTGTGTTACTCAGTTTACTCACCATATTGGGCACTTGATTTAAAAACTGTACCAGTAATCGTAAACGGATGGGTTCATCTATTAATGTTTGGTGACTGATTGGCCTTCATAGTTCGATTGTAGAGGAGATTGACAGTGACCTGTATACCTTAAAAGTGAAGACAATAAAATGACTACTCAGTGATGCATGATCTGATTTCTGAGAGAATTTAATTTCAGCATTGTAGTCTAATAGATCTTGGAGGCTTTGAATTAAGGTTTCGTGCCTTTCGGCGCTCATCATTAGGGATTTGATTCTAACCTGCGTCACTCCATGTAAACGTCTATGTTGCCACCAACTGGTTCAGCTGACAACTGAAGTTCAGTAAGATTGAAGTATGTCCACAAGTTAATCACTGACTGGTCAGCAAAATATCTACTAAGATATGGGTTATAATAACTGGCCAAAGTGTCTTCTATTTGCCTTATACTGTAACCGGCAAGCTAAGTGAAATGCGTTACATCAAGAATTAAAGATGCTTTTTGCGAATAGTTGCCAACTACTGTAACTCTTAGGTAGAATAAAGCTTTATTTTGACCTAACTATAACATTTTGCCTGATGCTAGCTAGGAGAAGAATCCACAACCAACGCTTTATTCCATTTGGACTCATCAGCTGGATGTATCTGCATTCCAAAGGGTGCAGTTGTTCCTCCTGAGATTCGAACCCAACACCCATCGCTTCAAACCTCACAGTACTTTCCGCTAGGTTAACGGCGCACAATAGCATTTGAAACTGTGGGTGCTGGTTTCGGATTTCTTGAGAACCAGGCATATATAGCTAACAAGTTCTAAATAGGAGAAGAATTATGCGGTCCTGATCCAATCGCTAGTCACCACCAAGCAAAATATTTTAAAAAATAAGTCTTCAGGTAATTTCGGACCACCTAAGTAACAGTCATATGCTAACAGATGTCGATCAAGTCGAACCAGCGTAGGAAATTACAAGTACCAATCAATAACTAATTGTGGCATACGTTTTGCTACCGACTATCTTTTCAAATAAAAGCTTGACCAGAACTTTGCAGCAATCGACATTCTTTTACTTCAAGTTTTTTACACAGACACCTGTTCTTCCTGCGTCTTTAACAAATAATGTCTGTCAGTACACTGTATTGCTTCATTCTGTGACTATAATCTTTCCGTAGAACTTAAATTGTATGCATATAGTTTAATTTACCGATATCCTATCGAAAGAAAGGTTTTATGATATGGCAATATGAAGATTGGAAACAGACTTCTCTTCTGATTACATTTTCTCTTTCGGATCATATAGAGATAATAATGGTTAAGATTTTCCCTGCAAAAAAGGTAAATACATCTCTTGTTTAAAGCCAATGACATACTTACTGTCTATCTAAACATAAAATCTAAATTACATCAAAGCAAAGTTACTAAACGCATACAACTTGGAATTTGAGATAACCGACAATGAAATAGGAAATTAATTGTTCTCAACCTTTTTCCTGTTTCAATCTCACTCCCTACCATGAAATTTCTTTTCCTTGAACCTTTATGAGATTGAGTGTTTACATTTTTTTGTTTACCAAATACTGTTCAATGGTAGATTTAATGAAGACCAAAATAAGTCAAAAGTAACTGAAGGGAATGAAACTAATATTGATGGAAATCTTCGAGATAAAAAAAGATTTCCGCTTAATTGATTTCCCTCATTTATTGTTTCATTGTTATTGAACGTAATTATATGCAAGAAAGGAATTCCATTTTCTCCTTCTAAGAATTCTCTCTCTGTCTCTCTCATGAAAGAAAATTCTTAGCCTGGTTCTCATGTCTATCTGTCCAAGTAGTAGTTAATGAACTCCACTTGTCTATTTCTCTCTCATTACTTTGGATATAGAAATACTAATTGAGATCATTTCTAAAGTCAAAAGGGGAATGAAGATTTCATTATATGAGCATCGATAAAAGTATGAAAGTTATGGAAGTAGAAACATCTCTATACTCATCCTCAATCACCTACTTTTTTAATTTGGTCAAAGAATTACCAATAAACAAATAAATAATACACAAGTAAACATACAATAAAGAATAATTATTACTGAAAACGAAAGAACTGATGCCATTATAACTAGTACAGTTCTGTTTGACGTATGGCCAAAATGTACCATAGTTTTGTAGTCGATTGTCTTTATATGCTAATGTGTCTACATTTTATTACTCTGTTTTAACTATAAGCTTCAAGATTGGTTACTAGTCGGTGACTGATGAAGCTGTCTAGCCCTTAGTGCTTAGGGTTCATAGAAGTCAATCGACCAATTTTTTGCATTTCAATGGTTACTTGAAGTGATGCAACACTCTGATTCACTGCATTTTGGTGCCCTGAACATAGATTTTGTACTTTCTTGGCACTTACCAACAAAATGTTTCTGCATCCATGGCAAAATTGGTTTTCCTTGATAATACAGACCTGCTTCATTCACTGCTGAAGTTAGAGAACTAACCACTAAATTGACCGAGGAATGAGTGACTTCTTGAAGGAGTGGACGACCTTAATACTGAGTGGTATCTGCTCGAATCACTCACTAAAAGCCATTTTTCGTGTAGCTGCAGATACAACTTGTTGATGAGAGTGAATCCTCACGAAATTAAGATTCAGAACCTCATAAAACAGATTATCATCATTTTAAGTACTTATCAAGGAGAAGTAAGAGAAAATTCATGCTCATACTTACTGGGAAGATTAAAAGTCACCTATATACTCGTCCTTTATACCATGTGAACCGTCTATGATAAAACATAGTTTAGCTGCTACTGACTGTTAATTACTGACAAAAAAATGATTTATACTTCACACGGAATTTCAGATAAGTTGCTATTGTGATAAGTAATTTCAATAAAACAATAGTTATATAGTGTCATCTCCAAATGGAGAACAGATTCTTTATCTAATTC